GATTCTCACCATTGGGCCAATTGGCAGCATCAGTATGGATGGTGAAGAGACTGAGATAGTTAACAGTTTTAGTTTGCTTGGCTCCACAATCAACACTCTTGGGAACAGCAGCCAGAAAATCAAGAGACGAATTGCATTGGGAAAGTCATGTGTGAGGGACCTCTCAAGAGTACTGAAGAGCAACGACATCAGCCTAGAGACTAAGGTGTGCCTGATCCAGGCTATAATCTTCACAATTACGTGCTATGCATCAGAGCATTGGACAGTGAATAGGGATGATAGAAAGAGAATTGATACCTTTGAGCTGTGGTGCTGGAGAAGAGCATTGAATATACCATGAACTGCTAGCAGAACAAAGAGGTTTGTCTTGGAGAAGGTGAAGCCAGAATGCTCCTTGGAGTCAAGGATTCTGAAGCTTCATCTGACATACTTTAGGCATGTTGCAAAGAGGGACTGGTTCTTGGAGAGGGTTATCATGTTTGGCAGAATGGAGGGGCGGTGAAGGAGAGGAAGACCTTCGAAGAGATGGATCGATTATGTGATGGGAGTGGTGGGAATAAGTGCATTTGTGATGGCTAGGTCGGCACAAGACAGACGGCATTTAGAGCTCTTGTACATAGGGTCGCTATGAGTCGCAAGCGACTCAATGGCACATAACAACAATAACAACATATATCAGAAAGCTTATGACAATGACTAGGGATGATAATAGAAGGAGAATTGATGCCTTTGAGCTGTGGTACTGTAGAAGAGTATTGAATATACCACTGACTGCTAGGAGAATGAACAGGTTCATCCTGGAGAGAGTGAGACCAGGCTGATCCTTGGAGGCAATGATTCTGAAGCTTTGTCTGACATACTTTGGACATGTTGTAAGGCAGACCCAGTGCTTGAAGAAGGATATCATGCTTGGGAGGGTGGAGGGACAGCACAATAAAGGAAGACCCTCAATGAGATTAATTTATTCAGTAACTGGGGTAATGGGGGGTAGGTGTGTCAGAGACAATAAGACTGGCACAGGATAGTGTGGGTTTTAGGGCTGTTGTACATAGGGTCACTATGATTCGCAGACAACTCATTAGCACATAACAATAGCAACAACAAATATGGTGCTGTGTGGTCTGTGAGTTACTGCATCCAATTTTGGACCCAGTAAAGCAGTAATATTGGTGTTGGGATAAGTAGACAGAGTTGTGGAATGCATGAGGGATATAGCTCACCTCATTAAAATGGGTTTTGTAGTGTTGATATTGTTGATGGGGACAGTTCCCCTTTGTGACATTGGTAAAGGTCAGATATGGCCATCCTCATGTAACCCTAGTCCTTTTTACAATTCTCAGTCTCTTTGTTGTGATTTTAGAACCACTACATAGCTGGCCTTCTCAATTCCAAGGCTGTAAATCATACAAGTGATTATTCTTGTTTCTCCTGCCTGGCTAGTGGATTTACACCACCACAAAGGTCAGGTCTTTGGGTTAGCAGCCCAACTTCCTATAAACTAGACCACCATGGTTCCCCTCCATTTCATACTGGGCCTCATAAATTATTCAGCTGACTCCACATGAGACTGTAAATGGGAAAGAAGGAAAAGGATAAATATGAGGAACTAGGATGAATAAGAGGATCGTTAGAGTTTGCACAAAGTGAACAGGATATTAATACAAGTTCAAAGGTTGAAATGGCTGAATTTTATGTTGTTACAAATGGACCAGATATATTACTTCTCAAAAAAAATCTTTATTTCATTCTTTGTTTATTGTTGTCGTTTATCTTTGAGTAGGAAGCGAGCCATAGGTGACCCCCAAGTGCATTTTCAGAGATAGTAATCATATGGAAGGAGATTGCCCATCCTTCTTAGAAAGTAAAATATTAAAAAATATTCAGATATGTGCAAACACTGATGATACAATTGGAAATTTACATTTCAAGACGCAGCCTAGCTCAAGGGTGTTCAAAGGTGTCTGGAAATATTACAACATTAATATTGTGTTATTGTTCTGTACTGTAAAGCTGAAACTGACCCATAGCTGACCCTCCAGCAGGTTTTCAGAGGCAGTTAATCACAAGGAAGGAGATTGCCTGTCATTTTTCCTGAGCAGCTGGTGGCCTCGAACTGTGTACCTTCAGGATTACAGCACAGCTTCTTGCCACTAGACCACCAGAGTTCCCCAAATCTACCAAGTGCTTCCTCCTCAATGTTTCGAACCTGAATCTTCTGTTCATTTAGATTTCTCTTGTTTGCTCTCAAGCTTACAACTCAAAGTTCATTGTATGACAACAGTAGGATAATTATCTTTCTGCCTCAGAGTGTGTTACTTTCAATTTTGCCAAAAGGTATCTTCTGATTTTCAGTCCTCCACTCTGCCAATGGATGACGTTGTCTAAATACATTTTCAATGTTTTCTTTTAAACAGTTAATATATTTCCAGGATGCAGGTCCATTTCTTTCTAAAAGGCTCCTAGGACACCGATTGAAAAGTTAAGAGCAATGAAATAAAAGGGACTGCTATTCTGTTGGAAAAGAACGACACCCTTTGTATCAAAGTGGGGAATTACAGACTGTGGTCACCCTCCGCACAGTGTCTCTTTGTCAAGTAATACATGCTGAAAAAATAATAATAATAATACAGATGGGAAAATATTGTGCACTGTCAGATCTTGGAAACAGCCAAAGGATTTTTCCTCACCAATGTCTTGTCGATGGCTTTCACATTCTGGCACCCTGAAAAAAAAATAATGCATACATTTAATATAAAATGAATGCAATAATAATCAGGCAGGTAATCATTTTCCCAAGGAATGTAAAACTTGACAAATGTAAGGTTTATGATTCAAGGTAGGCTTGCCAAATCTTATGTGGCATGAGACCATTTTTATTACCTAAACAGTTCTTAACACAAAATGACTGGCACATATTTTTATTAACACAAAGAGTATATTCTTTCTGCCACATTTAATAGAGATTCAGGGGCTGAAAGCCCTCTTTTAGGATATGTCTGCAGCAAATTAAAATGTGTCATGAGGATTCACAGAATGGAATTCTTCTTACTGGGACCTTGTCCACTCGGGTACATGCAGAGATGAGTATAGTGTTTATCTTGGGAATTCTATCTATGAAGACAACTTGGACTATAAAGATGACAGAAACTGAAAACTTTATTACCTTCACAGTTAGGCGTTTGATCATTAATGTAAGGTTATTCATTATATCTAAATGTCCATTCTGAGTCAATTTTGAAATCATTGCTAGGAGTAATGTCATTTCATTTCTTTATGTAGTCCTAAAGCAAGTCCTTATTGTTTTCTGGGTGCCTGGCACTGAAGATACTATAATGAAGACAACAAAATATTTTCCTGCCTCATAGTTCTTACATGCATTTTACAAAGTAAATTATTTAAGAGGTGATTTATAGAAGGTTGTTGTTGTTGTTATTAGGTGCCATTGAGTTGAATATGACTCATAGTAACACAATGAACAAAAGATTTGAAACAGTCTTGTCCTACACCATCCTCTGACCTCCTGACACACAAGAGCCCATTGCAGCAGTCACCATGTCAATCCACCTGGTTGAGGGTCTTTCTCTCCTTTGCCAACCCTCCACCCTTCCCAAAATCATGTTCTTTTCCAAGGAATAGCACCTTCTAGCAATATGTCCAAAGTCTGTGAGGTGAAGTCTCATCATTCTTGCCTCCAAAGAGCGCTCTGGCGGCACCCTCTCCAAGACATATCCATTTTTTTGGCTGTCCATGGAATGTTCAGTGCTTTTCTCCAACACCATAGCTCAAGGGTATCAATTCTTTTTCTGTCTTCCTTATTCATTGTCCAGGTCTCAGATGCATAGCTAGTAATCAGAAAAACCAAGGCCTGAATTAGATGCACCTTAGTCCTCAAACTGACATCACTACTCCTCAATAATTTAGCAAGGCCCCTAACTGCAGATTTTTCCATTGCAATGTGTCTCCTTATTTCCTGAATGCTCATGTAAAAGTTTTAATTGTGGATCCAATCAAAATGAAGCTGTTGACAGTTTCAATTTCTTCTCCATTCATCATGATACTGTCTATTGGTTCAGTAGTAAGAGTCTTTGTTTTCTTGATATTGAGACACAATCCATACTTAAGGCTGCATTCCTTGATCTTCTGCAACAAATGCTTCAAATCCTCCTCATTTTCAGCAAGCAAGATTATGTCATCTGCATAATGCAAGTTATTCATGAGTCTTTCTCCAATCCTGATGCCACAGTCCTCTTCAAAGAGTCCAGCTTCTTGGTGCCTGGGGCCTATAATAGATCAGATGAGATGTGGGATGATATCAAGGATATCATTCATTAAGAAAGTAAAAGGTCATTACAAAGACAAAGGAGAAAGAAAAAAAATGAAATGGATGTCAGAAGAGACTCTGAAGATTGCACTGGAGCATCGGGAAGGCAAATCTAGAAGAAAACATGTCAAAGTAAAAGAGCTGAACAGTTGGTTTCAAAGGGCAGCTCAGGGGGACAAAGCAAAGCATTATAATGAAATGTACAGAGAGCTGGAATTAGAGAATAAAAAGGGAAGAACTTTTCAAGCTGAAAGAACTGAAAAACAAATTTAGGCCTTGTGTCTCAATATTGAAAGATGCTATGGGCAATGTATTGAATGACCCAGAAAGCATCAAAAGAAAATGGAGGGAATACACAGAGTCACTATACCAGAAAGAATTGATTGACACTGAAAAATTTCAGGAAGTACCATATAAACAGGAGCCAATGGTAATGAAAGAGGAAGTAAAATCTGCATTGAAGGCATGACGAAAGGTGGTAAGTGCTATAGAAAAAAAAATTAAGAACAGAGAAAGAAAACTGGAAGTATGAATAGGTGAATGATAGACAGTAGATTTAAATAAGGAAATCATTAAGATTTAAGTGAAGATGTGGAAGACATGAAAGTGTTAGCCATGCAGATGACTGGGTGAAAAGTGTTCCAGACAGAGCATACAGTCACTGGAAAAGTCTAAATCGTGCTTGACATAGTCAAGAATAGTACAGAAACAATGATGAATGGGCAGAATGATTGAAGGTGGCATTAGGAGCTGAAAGTCAGAGATGTAAGAAGAGTTAAACCACATATGTCTTTGTGAACTGTTCAAAGGTCTTTGGTATTTTCTCTGAATAAACCAAGAGATATTGGAGGGTTCTGGTTAAAGAAGTGTGAAGATATGGATTCATGTTTAAATGCATGATTCAGGTTGTTTTATTGAGAAGAGACTGAGATGTAGGGCAAGGAGAGAATATCAGCCAGCTGTGAGATCACTGTAGTATCCAAAATGAAGAGAGCTGATAATGGTTCCAGAGAAGACTGTGGCAGTGGAGATGGAGAGAAGTGTAAGACTTTGGTTATATGTTGATGACAGAGTCCTCAAGGACATAAGAGAAAATGAGAATCAAAGATGATGCAAGCTTTTCAGTTCAAGCAACTGGTATTATGATGGAACATGCACCAAGATAAAAGACTGGACTGCAAGTGGAGCAGGTTTGTTGGAGAAGGTTAGCAGTCCGTTTGGCACAGGTGGAATTGGAAATGTTTCTTAGACATCTAAGTGGAGATGTTGAGTAGAACGTAACCAGAGTTGAGACAGTTCCAAACTATAGTGTCAATATGGAAGGCAACTTGAGATTTAGTATGATTCCCCAAACGACTTCATATTCTTCCCCCACCAAACAAATAAAAACTCCCACAACTCACTTCAGTGAAAGCCATCACTTTCCTCTCTGTTGTCCAGGCTATCGATTCGTGGATGCTCTTTCTCCCTTACTTCACAAATCTCCAACCACTATCTTCAATCCTGTTGACTCTATATTCTCAATTTCCCAGCTGACAAGTATCTGTGATTTTTCTTTTGCTATGTCAGTAATTCAGTGTCTCTTCCTGGAATACGTCTTTCTAACGTCAATCGTTTAAGCATTGTTTATCCATTTATACCTCCCTTCCAATGAGATTAATATTTCTACAACACAAATCTGGATTTCTATTCATTTAACTCATAGTCATTTCAAAAGTAGATTTTGAATGCCAGTTTATATTTTTTAATTTCATTTATATTGGTTTGCATATAAAATATGTTCTTTTTCATTCATATACATTGTGTTTCACACATCCCTTCGTTAACACTGTGATTTATAAAATCTATCACCATCAATTGATGCCCACTGTTGCCCCATCTTTTTAGGTCCCCAGTTGATCTTTCTTGGTTCTTTCACCCCCTACCTTCACCCACCAAATTCTGTAAAGTCATGATTTCTGAACCACTCAAAACCCTGCCCCTTTCCCTTCCCCCTTAGATCATTGTACACAACCTGCTAGTCATCCATCTATTTTTTCAATAATGGTCTTGTGTAACAATTGTCCTTGTGAATGTGAATTTTTTTACAAAACAGCATAAAGTAAATTGCTTATTTCAATCACTTGAAACTTTGATCAAATACAACTCATATATCTTATTTCCCTTCTTTCACATTAATGATTTAATTTATTTATGGGAACCTCCTGTTTTCCATTATGATCCAGTTCTATAGCAGGTATGGCCTATTGGAGTCATTGAGCTTCTATCTTTGACAGTCTTATTAGGACTATTTTAATGAGTATGAATATTTTGTTGTTATTGTTGTTATGTGATATTATTATTATATGATATTGAGTCACATGTGACTCATAGCAACCTTAGGTACAACAGCTGTGAAGCCTACCCTATCCTGAGCCAGTTTTACTGACTCTGACACACTTACGTCCATTGCCCCAGTTACTATATCAATCTATCTTATCTGGGGTCTTCCTCTCATGCACTGTTCCTCCACTCTTCAGAGCATGATGTCCTTCTCCCAGGACTGGTCCCTCCTGGCCACATGCCCAATGTATGTGGAATGAAGATTCAAAATCCTAGCCTCCAAAGAGAAACTTAGTTTCACTCTCTCCAAGACACACCTATTTGTTTTCTTAGCAGTCCAAGGTATGTTCAAGACTCTTCTCCAACACCACAGATCAAAGGCATCAATTCTTCTTCTGTCATCCTTACTCATTGTCCAGCTCTCTGACACACAGCAAGTAATTGTGAAGACCATGGCCTGGATCAGGCAAATCTTAATCTCTAGACTGTCATCATTGTTTTTCAGTACTCTGGAGAGATTCCTGACAGCAGATGTTCCCAGTGCAGTTTGTCTTTTGACGAACTTCTTACAGGTTGACATTATGTCATTGTGTTGCTAGAACTTTGAAAAATGGCTTTTCTGTCCATTGTGTTAGCTCCCGCTGGAGGTATGATCTGCAGCTACCTTAATTGTGGGCACAAGTCCTTGCAATCATCAACAGTTCTGTCACCAATATAAGAAGGTGTTTTGACACTGTGAAAGACAGTGGTGGAGAGAGGGTGAAAGACTATGCCACTGCTGTGAAGAGACTGTAGCAAGGTGTAACCGGAAGAACACTGAAGACTGAGCCACAATTAAACGTTTTGTTTGTGGGATGACTGAAGGAAAAAACTGACTTTAACTGCTCTGAGAAAAATTTTGTTGGATGATTGAGGAAATCATAGGTTCCTTGCATTTGTGTTGCTGAACTGAACCTGGACTTTGGCTAATTGAAGAACCATATCTTGTTAATCTGGCTTGGGGCTGCTCGACTAAATCTGGACCTCCATTGTGTGATATTCTTT